GTTGATCTTGTAATAAATTTCTACATACCTGGCTCTGTTTTTAGAACTGTTGTACAATGTTCAATAACTGAATAATATTCTTTATTCAACAGTTTACATTGCGCATAGTTCAAAAGCAACGGTATCTTCATTCGATTCAAGGATAACCATTCGTCATCGTTCGGTTTTTCGCTAAAAATCAAATACCGATTTATTACAATTTATAATGTGGTCGTGTTCTTACGTTTTAATCGCACAATCGAGTTTCAAAGACTTACGCTAGCATGAGTTGTTCTAATATTCCTATCGCCTTTGCATATATTTCAGATGCGCTGTCATGTTTTTTTTCTCTGAACAAAGCATTTCCCTTTTCCTTCAGATGCGGAATGCTCTCAAGCTTCTCATTCTCTGTCATTTGCCACGACTCTTTCTCATATTCATTTGGCAATACCACTTTGACAAGCTCTGTAAGATACAAGAGTTTTTTTGTTAATCCTGCTGTTTTCTAGGTTTATTTGAAATCTATCTTTGCACTTTTATGCTGTGAAAAAGAAAGATAAATGTAGAAAATCATTAAAAGCATATTGGAAATTCTTATAATTTTGTTCTGACGAAGTATATGGTGTTTTATTTATTATATACTTGTACCTATTGTAAATTCCAAATCTTGAGGATATTTTATAAGTTCGTCCAGATCGGCATACCCAATGCCTTCATTCTGGAGAGTAACGCCGCAGCAGTGATGACTACGCTTTTGTGATTGCGGCTTGCCAGCCTCTCTTAGTGTCTTGGAGACGAAAGGATATGTAGTCACTAGCTAAAACAGGATTCATCATAAAAGTATACACCGCGTTGAGCGCACAGTTGTAGCAAAGTAAGTATCACAAACATACACTTTTATGCACTTTGAAACAGGCAACTTCGTTCAATGCCATTTTTTGTACAATTGCTTCCCATACTTCCAACTTGAATTTCTTCCCTAATATGAGTTCCATTGGATTTCCCATCGTCCTACTGTCATCTATCACTGTTTTGTCGGAATCGCATTTTGTGGTTCTAAAGTGAAATATAACCTAGAAGAAAGCTAAATTAAAAGTAACCGTTCATAACAAAAGTTTACAAGTAGAAATCTTGTATGGTTAGAAAAAACAGGATATACACGTACCTTTGTTCCTGGTACAAAATTAATCACTTCTGACCCAGCATGAAGAACGGTTTTGACTATGTACTCGTTATCCATTATGATAGGTTATGTGCGGGTATCTAGATATGTAATGGATAAAACTTTGGTCTGATCTGATTATTAAAGCAAAATGTTTACGACTATTATGTTCGCCACGTATGTTATCACAGCAATTTAAAGTACAGAAGCAATATAATCTTTGAAAGGTTAAATTGAAAGCAGTTTCATAACCTCAACAATTCATTTGAAGAACAATATGGCAAAACTTTAATCCTTATACATAAATATATAAATAATAGAGTATATTTTTCTAAACAAATAACTTGCAATCATTATCATTGTATTATAATGATTTATCACCAAATAATGATTATGCAAAACTCACATATTACACACTACTGTTCGGTATTTCGAGTTATCAGATTTTACTTGCAGGTTGCAGGCAGGGACTAGGGAGATATTAATAATAGTGACATATCACCCTTACGTATATTGAACAAATATCGAAAACGAATAATCAATAAAATCGGAGTTTATTCCTTTCCATTGCACCTGTTGCATTTTTCACATTTTTAGCGAAGTATCATATCGATCGAAGGTTCCGCAATTTTTCTGAGAAAGGATGATGGTTATATACTGTGTATATGTAATTGCATTCTATATTATATAATATATGCTCTTTAAAATTGTGCTTTCTTGTTTTTTGTTAAAAGATATTTTATTAAATACAGAATGCCGTTTTACATAAATGATCCCCTTCCAAACTTCTTTTCTTTTCGATTTTAGAAAAAATGGGTCAAACAAAAGGATTTTAACAAGACTATATTGTTACGTATAATTTCTCGAGCGGAACTTTTTGGCTTTCACTTTCCACTCGTTCGATCTGATTAAAATTACATGATCGCGCAAAACTACGTCACGTGATATAATAAGGTTCATGTGAAAATTTTCACTTTTCACACTTCCGCAAGGGAAAGTTATAATAAAACTTGATCGCTGCACAAATCGCAATAAAATATATCTTACTGTAGGTAAATATATAAATATATTTATTTATCAGAAATATTATAGATATTATGTTTAAATTAAACTACATGAGGGGTTATACAATCTACGGCCCGCAAAACTAGATCCGCCAAGAAATTTCGCCATTATAATATAAAAGAGTTTTAAAATAAAGATATTTTATATTAAAGTGAGTCATGATGACAGTGAAGTAAAATAGAAAATGTACCAAGATTTAGTCGGGCTGGATCTTTTATTGTCTAATAATATTATTCGTTAAGATATTTCTCTCGATAAAAAAGATTGGCAACTCCTATAAACTATATTATAATTATATTAAATATATTACACACATACTTAAATTACATATATAATATAGCTGAATGATGGGAATAACATGATATATATATAGAAGTATTTATTCAAATATAAAGTGAACTCGCACTGGACAGGTACATGTAAAAAAAAAACAGGCTTTTAAGAAATTGATATTTAAACAAATAATTCTTAGAACGGAACACGGACTCTCTTGTCTTATGAAAATGACTACACGAGTTTCATCCATGACATAACGCTACGCCTTTGAAAATATTTTTTCATATCGCGTAAAAAATTAGTTTCAACAAATAAAGTTTCCAGGAAATCCAAGAGAGGATTCGTCGCCGTAGGTATATACAGTTCTCAACGTGTTCAGACAATAATGAGATATTAATCTTATTCGAGGTCAGATATTAATTTTGTTGAAATCACGTTAAAATATCGTGTTAAAAAATTATGGAGTCCGAAAGCGCGAACGCCAGGACGTCATACGCGATACGTTTATTTACGGACTAATTCATTCAGATTTGAAAAATTAATTACACTGAGAAAAAAAAATCGTAGATTCAAAGAAATATTATTTGATTCAACTAAATGCAGTGGTCACGGGCTGTCAAGCTAACATTTGTTAATTCAAAAAATATTATATTTAAATAGATTCAGAATTTCTTGATATTACTCACGTATATTTGATTTAAATATATTAATATTTGCATTAAACAAATCACTACAACTAAACGAGTTTAGTCAAATTTACAACATTTTTTTCTCAGTGTACCCGATACGCTGCACGTTGCATATCAGGCGTTCGTAATATCACGAACGGCGAACGTGAAAATATCGGCTGCGCGCGGCGATCGAGGTCACGCTTCTAATTAAACATTACATTTACAAGAATGTTGGACGATTTTACAAACTAGTTTTACACTTGTCCTTGTCGCGCGAAGTCATATCGCTCGAGCGTATGCAAAAATAAGCTCAAATTTTATGCGCGAACATTACGTGCCGCAAAATTGCTGTCGCGATAAAGTTTCAAGTTTACTAATATTCTCGAATTTTCTCCGAGACGATTCTTTAACAAACAATGCCTAATATTATATCTTTAGTGTATAATTAGATCTTTTATCGCGCTACCCGTGTAGCAACAATAAAAAGTAATTTTTTTTATTTATTAGCTTCTCCACGAAATTATAACTATACTTAAATTTAATTTAGTTCTACCTAACGAATTCCGTCTTTCTCAACCAACCGACCCCAATCTCGCTCAATTGTTATTCCCTTCTCTATAAGAAATTCTAGATTTTTCCCTCAAAATCGAATCAATTATTATTTCTGACACTATATAGCTAAACTACCCGGCGTTGCCCAACTGCATATATATATTATCAATGTTGAAGGGATGAAATCAGGGAGAGAGGGTGGGATGTCCAGGGGGATTTCATGGTAGCTTGATTATATTTTCCACAAGGATCTAGAGAGTACCGTATAAACTGTGCAAAATTTGATCCAGATCGGTCAAAGGGCTTAGGAATTAACAATTAAAGGGAACAATACAGACATTCTAATTTTTATATATGTATATACAGATTATTAGGACGCGTTACATTAATTGCGATTATTTCAACGAAGAGAACCGGCCTACTTATTAAACAAAGATCTACATTGTGCTGCGCTCAGTTCTCATCAATAATTCATAGTGAACGCAACTTCGGCATTGTTGCACTGTATTATAATCTCCTTTCTTTGCATCGTCGCCTGAAAGCTTGGTCACTCATACTA